ATCACCCCCTCACCATCACCCCCTCCCTCTCACCATCACACCCTCCATCTCACCATCACACCGCCCTCTCATCATCACCCCTCTCCCTCACACCATCTTCCCCTCCCCTCACACACCATCACCCCCTCCCTCTCACCATTGCCCCCCTCCCTCTCACCATCATCTGCCTCCCTCACACACCATCACCCCATTCCTCTCACCATCAACCCCTCACCACTTTGACCCCCTCTCACCTTCCCCCCTCCCTCATACCATCACCCCCTTCCCTCACAGTATTACCCCTCCCTCACACCATTATCCACTATACAAGCACACACACTGCATCCACTACACAAACAGACTGCATTCACTACACAAACACACACTGCATTCACTATACAAACAACACACACAGACACACACTTATACATGTGTGTCTGTGCATCTATATGTCTGTGTATCTGTATGTGTGTTGGTATATGTGTATCTACAGGGAGTGCAGAATTATTAGGCAAATGAGTATTTTGACCACATCATCCTCTTTATGCATGTTGTCTTACTCCAAGCTGTATAGGCTCAAAAGCCTACTACCAATTAAGCATATTAGGTGATGTGCATCTCTGTAATGAGAAGGGGTGTGGTCTAATGACATCAACACCCTATATCAGGTGTGTATAATTATTAGGCAACTTCCTTTCCTTTGGCAAAATGGGTCAAAAGAAGGACTTGACAGGCTCAGAAAAGTCAAAAATAGTGAGATATCTTGCAGAGGGATGCAGCACTCTTAAAATTGCAAAGCTTCTGAAGCGTGATCATCGAACAATCAAGCGCTTCATTCAAAATAGTCAACAGGGTCGCAAGAAGCGTGTGGAAAAACCAAGGCGCAAAATAACCGCCCATGAACTGAGAAAAGTCAAGCGTGCAGCTGCCACGATGCCACTTGCCACCAGTTTGGCCATATTTCAGAGCTGCAACATCACTGGAGTGCCCAAAGCACAAGGTGTGCAATACTCAGAGACATGGCCAAGGTAAGAAAGGCTGAAAGACGACCACCACTGAACAAGACACACAAGCTGAAACGTCAAGACTGGGCCAAGAAATATCTCAAGACTGATTTTTCTAAGGTTTTATGGATTGATGAAATGAGAGTGAGTCTTGATGGGCCAGATGGATGGGCCCGTGGCTGGATTGGTAAAGGGCAGAGAGCTCCAGTCCGACTCAGACGCCAGCAAGGTGGAGGTGGAGTACTGGTTTGGGCTGGTATCATCAAAGATGAGCTTGTGGGGCCTTTTCGGGTTGAGGATGGAGTCAAGCTCAACTCCCAGTCCTACTGCCAGTTCCTGAAGACACCTTCTTCAAGCAGTGGTACAGGAAGAAGTCTGCATCCTTCAAGAAAAACATGATTTTCATGCAGGACAATGCTCCATCACACGCGTCCAAGTACTCCACAGCGTGGCTGGCAAGAAAGGGTATAAAAGAAGAAAATCTAATGACATGGCCTCCTTGTTCACCTGATCTGAACCCTATTGAGAACCTGTGGTCCATCATCAAATGTGAGATTTACAAGGAGGGAAACAGTACACCTCTCTGAACAGTGTCTGGGAGGCTGTGGTTGCTGCTGCACGCAATGTTGATGGTGAACAGATCAAAACACTGACAGAATCCATGGATGGCAGGCTTTTGAGTGTCCTTGCAAAGAAGGGTGGCTATATTGGTCACTGATTTGTTTTGGTTTTGTTTTTGAATGTCAGAAATGTATTTTTGTGAATGTTGAGATGTTATATTGGTTTCACTGGTAATAATAAATAATTGAAATGGGTATATATTTGTTTTTTGTTAAGTTGCCTAATAATTATGCACAGTAATAGTCACCTGCACACACAGATATCCCCTAACATAGCTATAACTAAAAACAAACTAAAAACTACTTCCAAAAATATTCAGCTTTGATATTAATGAGTTTTTTGGGTTCATTGAGAACATGGTTGTTGTTCAATAATAAAATTAATCCTCAAAAATACAACTTGCCTAATAATTCTGCACTCCCTGTATATGTATCAATGTGTGTATGTGTATCTGTATGTGTGTATCTGTTTGTGTGTCTGTGTTTGTATCACTGTGTTTGTATGTGTGTGTCTCTATCTGTATGTGTGTATGTCTCTCTCTCTGTGTCTGTATGTGTATGTGTGTGTGTTTGTATCTATATGTGTGTTTGTATCTGGATGTCTATCTGTATGTGTGTCAGTGTTTGTCTGTATGTGTGTATGACTGTGTTTCTATGTAACTCATGTGTGTACCTATGTGTCTGTGTATGTGTGCTAGTGTGTGTATATGTGCATACATCTCAGCATTTCGCCTACACTACACACAAATACAACCCTGCATCCAAATGTCAACACTACATAAAAACACACCACCATTTAAAAAAACCACACTACAGAAAAATGCCCGCCTGCATTCAAATGCCAATACGTGCAAACACACCCGTACATTCACTCACACATACTCCAAACAAAAACATGCTAACGTTCAAACATTCAAACACACAAACACTGCTCAGTGCTAAATATATTAAAAAAATATATAAACACTGCTCAGTGCTCAATACATGTAAAAATGTGTGGGTGCTTTTTACATTTTTAAGCTGAGGGGGAGGGGGGCCAAATATAGCATTCGCCCCGGGTGCCAAATGCTCCAGGTATGCCCCCATGTGTGCATCCATTATTATGGAGACAATGTTCACCTTTATTGGCATTTCTCTGTACATGTCCAGACCTAGTGCAAATTTGCTTTTGTTATCCTTTTTGAACACTGTGCCCTTTCCACAAAATATGCACTACATATAAGCTCCTGTACATAGTTACATAGTTACATAGTTACATAGTTACATAGCTGAAAGAGACTTGCGTCCATCAAGTTCAGCCTTCCTCAGAAATGTTGTTGCTGTTGATCCAAAAGAAGGCAAAAAACCTGGTCTGAAGCACTTCCAATTTTGCCACAAACTAGGAAAAAATTCCTTCTTGACCCTAAAATAGCAGTCAGATGTCTCCTTGGATCAATCAGCTATTACCCCACTAATTAGAAATTATATCCCTGTATGTTATGTTTTTGTAAGTATTTATCCAATTTCAGTTTAAACATCTGTATGGACTCTGACAAAACCACCTCTTCAGGCAGAGAATTCCATATCCTTATTGTTCTTACTGTAAAAACCTTTTCTTTGCCTTAGATGAAATCTCCTTTCTTCCAGCCTAAATGTGTGACCTCGTGTCCTATGTATAACCCTGTTTATGAATAGATTTCCAGATAAAGGTTTGTACTGGCCCCGAATATATTTGTGTAAAGTTATCATATCCCCTCTCAGGCGCCGTTTTTCCAAACGAAACAGATTTAATTTTTGTAACCTTTCTTCATAACTAAAATGCTCCATTCCTTTTATCAATTTTGTAGCTCGTCTCTGGACCCTCTCCAGTGCCATGATATCCTTCTTTAGAACAGGCGCCTAAAATTGCACAGCATATTCAAGGTGTGGTCTTACCAGCGATTTATAAAGAGGCAAAATTATATTTTCATCCCGAGAATTTATGCCCCTATTTATACATGACAAAATCTTACTGGCCTTAGCAACTGCAGATTGACATTGCATATTGCTGCCTAATTTGTTGTCTATAACAATGCCCAAATCCTTCTCGTGTGTGGTTATCCCTAATTCACTACCATTTAGTGTGTAAGTTGCTTGTGCATTCTTAACCCCGAAGTGCATAACTTTGCATTTCTCTATGTTAAATTTCATCTGCCATTTTAGTGCCCAGTCCCCCAATCTATCCAAATCTCTCTGTACCTTTCTATCTGTTCTGTGGAGTTGGAGGGAAGTTGTGTGATATGACTCAATATTCTTCTTTAACCCCTTAAGGACCAAACTTCTGGAATAAAAGGGAATCATGACATGTCACACATCATGTGTCCTTAAGGGGTTAAGGTGCAAGATTTCTTCTTCCCAATATCTGCGTATACTTCCTAAATAAAGGGCTGCTTCTGCTTAATAAACACCGTGACATAGTGCGATTTTACTTGTTTTTTATTTTTCTACATTCACGCTTTTTTTTTTTTACAAATTTATTGCATAATCATCATTTGTCATTATCTTCAAGTGTTTTCCTCTGTGTGCTGACCTGATTTTCATGCACCCAGGAATTCTCCAGGTTGCATCACAATGACAGCTGTGCGTTACAAGAGCCATTACAACGGAGTCCTGTTTGAAACATTCAGGCACATGTGGGAAAACCGTAACGATCTCAGTAAAACAGAATCACATGATTGGGTTCCTTTGTGGTTATTTTGCTTCAGTTTTGTTGATCTCATTTATGAGACTTGAGGGAAAAATGAATTCAGTTTTGTAATTACATTCAAGTTTCAGTATGAGAAAAAACTGTGTTTAACTTTTCTTGCATAGCTATCAAACCATTAGTGGACAAAGGAATAGATAGGGGACAGTTACAAACACCAAATGTGGAGAATGCTGTAAGAGCATTACATAATTGCCAACAGTCTCGAGTTTGCAGGGACAGTCCCATGTTCTAGGCT